GGCTTGAAGGCCCACTTGCATTCTTGCTCTTGGGTTTTGTGAGATAACCTTGCATCCTTATGATAAACTCCTTTTTTTTCCCTCTAAACTATTACAGATATATTTCTACTTCTTGCAACCAAAAAAAGTCTTAACTAAGACAATATCTACCTCAATCTGGTTATAAGGATTAATGAGAAAATATTTCAAACATCTAAATCAGTACCTCAAAAAATGTTATTTTCTCCCTTCCAACTGTGAATGGCACCCATGTGATCTGAGCAACAGGCTTATCTGTTCTTTGTACTTCTTTGGAATGACAAGCCCATTTCACAGTGGTATTTTTAAAAAGTTCTTCTTAATTTCTGCTTTTCCTCTTCCAATTGCTGATCTGTTCATGGTCTAAGTGCTGATATATTTGTGTTTGTGTTTTGTTATGTCTTGTTTTAAAAATTTGTTCCTCAGTGCATTGAATTAATCATAATTCTCAGTTCATGACATACCATCATTGATCCTGCAAGGAAAGGCTCTCTTGTTTTATGTCTTTCTTTCTTTATTCTGTCTTTATACCTTTTATCTCTACTCCCTCCACACACCCTCAAAATAAGCAATTTTAGTATCTGAATGTGTATATTTCTTTTTAAATGTGTTCTCAGAATGTAGTTTTTATTTTGTAGGCATGTATTTTTAAATGTACTCCAAAGCTACTATTATCTCTCTTATTTTGTGGCTTACTTTTTTTACTGAGCACTGTTTTTCATTTCCTTCCACGTTGCCAGGTGCTAACATTTAATCTGTTGTTTAATACTGATGCCTACCTTACACGGTGTGCACTACTCACTCACGGTGTTGTACTATCCACTCCTACACTGACGAACACCCACGTTTCCCCCAAGTCCATGCCACTACAAATAACCCTGCAAAGAACATCCTTGTATTAGTCCCCTTCCCGATGTGTAGAGAATTTGTTTTGTATTTCTTAGGAGAAGAACTGCTGGGCTATAGAGTATGAATCTATTTAATGTATGCAGGTAATGCCAGATTCCCTTCCAGGAGTGGAGAAACGAGTCCTGCGGCAGTGCAAGTTTCTACATTTCCACATCCCTGATAACATTAGTAATTATCTAGTCATCTTAATTTTTGCTGTTTTGATAAAGGTAAATTGAAATCTCATTGTTGGTTTAATTTGCATTTGATTACTAGTGGTTTTGATCAAATTTCCATATGCAGATTAGACTTTTCTGTTCTGTAATGTGCCTGTTGATATTATCTGCACCTGTTTTTCTGTTGGGTTGCTGTCTTTTTCCTGTTCATTTGCAGGAGTTCCATGTACGTCCTAGGATGACATTACATCCTTGTCGGTGTTGGACAAAGCATATATTTTCTTCATTCTGCCATCTGCCTACTAACTTTGTCCATGGTGCCCTTTATAGAACATAAATCTTTAATTGTTTTATAATCACATTCCTCCGTTCTTGCCTTATGGCTTGTGCTTTTGAAAGTGTTGAAAAATGTGGACTATTCCCTTAGTTACGCCTACTCCCTGCCTAGTATCTAAATCTGAGTTCCCTGGAGAGGCCCCTGTGGTCATTCCGTCCCTTCACTCCATCCCGCACTCCTCTTCACTGGACTCCAAAGTGTTTGAACTGACTGAGTTTCATTCTTAAGAGAAGCTCATCTTCCTTGAGCCTTTTCTCCCATAGAATTTCAGGCTATGAAAATCATGTCTTGTAACTGTTCAAAGTCAGGCTTCCCATAATCCTGGATACACATCTCACCTTATCTCCCTGGCTAGGAGGAAGAACCCAAAATGGCAGAGTTACTTTTTTTCTCAATTTTCCTCACTCCCATTTCACTAGTCATTTCCATCTTTGTTGGTCAGAATTAGGCCCAGGTCACAATCTCTGCTCTGCCATCCTCTTCCTTATGAAGGATGAAACTACACTAAAATAACATTCTCCTTACTTCTGGAACTTGGCTTTGTGCCAGTTTCATGATTTGTCCTGGGACCTATAATCCAGTTTATTTATTTTGGCGGAACCTGGCACATTTTTACAATGATATTTCTTATTTCTCTCTCCTTTATCTTCACCTAAATAATTCCTTTTTTGTTTACACTTTCAAGGATACAAAATCCCATATGAGACTCTGTCTTCATGATGTAAAGTATTACTCTGACTTTCCTTCTATCATTTTCTTTTGTTTTTATTTTATTTCTCCTACTTACAGCCTTGTGTCTCTCTTCTTCTTTCCTTCCCTCCCTCCCTGCCCTTTTCCTTGATCCTTTCCTTTCTGAATTTTATGAATGCTGAGGGCCAGGGCTGACTTTCTGTAGATCACAGCAAAGAAGCTGCTTTCATCCTAGAAGTCAGTTCCCCACAAACATATGGTGTGTGTCACATGACTGGTAATTCCTTTTATGTTGCACCTCAGAACTCAGTTGTTTCTTTTGAACGATGTACTGCACCTTTTTTCACTGCTGTGGTACAGGCATGAGTGCCATCCTACCAAGTTTCTTAATATATAGGACATTTTATTTTCCTTATTGTGTGAAATCTCAAGTTATATTTGTATATTACCTGTACTTTTTGCATTGGTGTAGGGGCCATAAGTATTTTTTATTTTTTGCAACCCTTTTCTACTTTTTTCAAAGAATTATGGGATGCCACCTCTGCTACTGCTTTTCTTCCAGTGTCATATTTGATGTCCTCTATAGTATAAAATTTTGTGTTTCCTCACCATTTTTTCACTTTGTATTCTCCATTTTATCTTTGTCATCCTCACCTACTGACTCCCACCACACACACACACACACACACACACACACACACAAGCATTCCCAATTTCAAGTTGACATAGTCTTAATTCAGTTGACAATGCTCACAGAAAACAGATTTTCCTTTCAGTTTTCTGAGAAGCATCCTGTTCCAATTCCAGAACATGTAATTCCCTCATCATTAGACTAAACAACATAGGTCAGGGGCCATGACTTCTTGAGACTGCCCCAGTGCCATGAGATATAGTAGGCAGTTGGTAAATACTTGCTGAGCCAGGCATGGTTTGCATCTTGGATGTCTTTGTCCATCATCCTTCTAAGAATTATTCACCTACTCTAAAAGGAATTTTGATTTTCTTTTTTCATTCTCAATGAGAAATCCACACCACCATCAGCTTCCCTTAGCATATTGTAAACACTTCTAGCAGAGTAAGATGCAGTCTCATTTACTGAGGGGGAAAAAAGAAATCCTGATTTCAGACCTCAGTTACATGCAATGACATAATTAATATTTATTAACTGTAAACCCTCTTAAAAGGAGACTATACATTTTTATAAAGTGCTTGAGGTAGAACTAAGGTAAATTCCCCCAACCTAGGGGTCTAAATATGAAAGAAACTGTTTTATAAGAGAAGAATTTTGCTTGTTATACTGTAGGAATGACAGGCAGGAGGAGAAAGAGTAAAGGAAGGCTACATGGAAGTGTCAGTGAAAGTCATAAACTTTCAGTAGTAACATTTTTGAAGATTCTAAGAGATGACATATTTTTTTATTCCTAGATCTAAAATCCTGTAATTTTTCACTTATATGTTTAAGACTCAATTAAACACTTACTTTCTTCCTATTATGAGAAAGGTTCCTTGCTACTGATTTCATTATTCCAGACACACTTCCCCACCCGCCATTCTAACATCTCTGAAATGGGATGTGTCTTATAATTGATCATCGATGTCAGTTTATAATTACTGTTGGTCAAGCAACGTAGTTGTCATTGCCTACACATGCCTGGGCCTAGTTATTCTAGGTGACTTACTAGGAATCTCCAATTCCTTGATATTTCAATTAAATAACCATTTAAGAACTACCTGAAGGAAAAATAGTCCTGGTTATTGTTTGAATATCTTCCTTGACCTCTTACTGACAAGATCAAAAAAGTCCCCGCTTTAAAATTTGCAGCATAGGTGGTGTGGCCTGGAAGAAGTCCCCAGAGATAACAATGAAGCTCTCTTTGGAGAAATACTACTTCACTAATGCTCAAAATGACCCAGAGAATATAAATGCATGGAAAAATACAGACATCAACAACTCTGAGTCAAAAAGTGATTCAGAAGTATCAGACTCAGTATGAAGAAATTATAAGAATACCATAATGACTTTCAGTTATGTTTATGTGCATTGTAGTGATATTTTAAAAGTTCTACTTCTAAATGAGTTCTTTAAATAGGAATGAAATTTTAAAATATAAGTGATAAAAAAAAGCATGGCGATAGTTGAATTGGCACTTATTTTTTCTTTCTTAATGGTACCTAAAATAGAGATATGCCACACAATTGATGGTGCCTTAAAGTCAATAAAATAAGATAAATACTTCAGAGACTATAAAAAAATGTGAAAGCAGTTCCAGTTCTCAAAATATTCATAATCTGGAAGGAGGACTAACAAGCATATAAAGAATAATAGAAATGAGGGAAAATATGGTAATTGTCCCCCCAAAAGGTACAAACAAAAAGATTTGAACATTTGGACACACTAGGAAAGCCTTCTTGGAGGAAGAAGGATTTGAGGAGGGCCTGAAGAACTGACAGGATTCCATGTGGCAGAGACAGAATGGAATAGGAAGAATAAAGAGCAAAAATCAGCTGTAGGAAAACAGGCATTTCTGGGGAATGGTGAATAGCATATTTTGACTCAAGGGTTTGTTAGACTTTTTTGGCTTTTTAGACCCCTTTAAGAATTTAATGAAAGGTATGAACCCATATCCTAGAAATAAAGGCACAAATTTCATAATCAAAAAGTTTTTTTAGGGGGGAGGGTTTAACTCAAGTGGTAGAGTACATGCTTAGCATGCAGAAGTCCTGGGTTCAATTCCCAGTACCTCCTCTAAATATAAATAAACCTAATTATCTCCCTCCCCCCAAAAAAGAGAAGTATTCCATCTATTAAACTAAGAATGATAGATTGGAATGTCACTGCCTTTAAAAAAATTTTTTTTTGCATACTGTTTCTGGGGATTTCCCATTTGCAGATAGCACAGAGTGGGAGCAGGGAAAAGCAGCCTTGCTGGACACCCCACGAGAAGCTGGTGCTGGAGACCAAGGCTGCAGAAGTCCCTCTTCTGGAGGAGAAGTTTGGATCTGACTAAACTTGGGAAGAATGACTAAGAGAAATGGACTCAAGGGCCAGGGGCAATGTACCCAGTCCACTAATCCAGAGATTAAAAGATTTGGACACCTTTGGGAATCATTTCTAGCTGACTGGATGTTGTAGGCTTCCAACTGATGGGATTGTAGCTGGAAATGTACCTGGGAAATGAAATGTATAGGTTAAAAAGTATGCCAGGGCCTTATTGGGGGTGGGGGGGACTTGACTTCCCCAACCACTGTATTTTACACTTAATTCAGGAAGTAATGGGACGTGATGCAGATTTCTGAGGAGACTGAATGTTCAGAGCTGTGGTTAGGAAAATTAATCTTCAGGATTATAGGTGTGTAAGAGGCCAGGCGAGAGCAGTTAGGAGTTTATTGCAGTTGGTTTTTATATCCTTCAAATACATTCTATGTATTCCGTTTTATCTTCTGTCCCCACCACCCACCATTTGGTAGAGCCAGGCCGTTAGTAAGCACTTGGTGGTGCTTGCTAAATTGAAAACCGTAAATTTACTGTGAGGGTCCCCTTGTAATGTCCCTGTTCCTCACCAGGTGGCACCATTACAGCATTATTTACAAAACAGGCTTCCTGCTAAGTGCTTCCAAGCAGAAAGGCTGTATTTCTTCAAGGGAATTCACCTGGGACAATCTAGAGGCGAGGGGACGGGGAGGGGGGGTAATGGTAGCTGGGGTGAAAGAATATTCTTTTTGTGTTGTAAATCAACTATACTTGAACTATACTTCAAATTTTTTTAAGAAAGAATATTCCTTTTGTACTTCTCTATGATTTCTTACCGTAGCAGAATATCTTGGCTGAATTCCTAGGCATATAGATGGGGAAAAATGCTTAGGAAAACATGCCTTTTCAAAGATACAAGCAGCTTTCAATCTTGCAAGAAGTATTAGACTTAAATATATCTGGGAAAGAACTGTTTCTTAATTCTGGAAATTGTTAGGTGAGCCATTTCATTAAACATATCAGGAAGAAACCATCCTCTGTGGTGATACTGAAGTCATATAAAGCTGCATATTTATGTTGGAGGCCAGTTTGAATCTCTTAGAGCAATGACTATTTCTTTAGAACAAAATTTAGTTGTATGAGGCTAAAGTTGTAGCTTATTTTATGAAGTTGTATGTTTTCCTTTTGAGATTATAGAGCTAACCCTGAGAGATTTCCTAATGAGAGACAGGAGTACTGGAAACTGAAAGAGTTGTGATGACTTACGTGCAGTGTTGTGTTGGGCTCAGACATAAAGTGCAGCACAAAGATGGAGGGGACCATCACCTCACTGCCACATATCAGCAGTGCTCTGACAAACTCCCAAGTACTAGAAGGCTTGGAAGTAATGGAAGACAAGATTCTTAGCACATTCTAATAGGTGTCAATATAATTTGAATTTGTTGTATAAGTGGTGAGTAATCAGATTTATGCAAAGATTTCAGTTCAGTGTAGGAAATACTCTGGAGGCCCCAGGAGGAAAGAGTGCATTGACAGTTCAACGTGGTATCAATTCAGTCATTTCTTCTTTGCTATTTTTCAAATTAAAAAGTCTCATGACTTTTTAGCTCAATGATTCTTACCTTTTTACTTAATTCTTACCTTTAAGAATTAAGTTGAAACAGTGGATGTTCTCTCTAGAGAATATAAATACTTACACAATTTTGCATTCAATTTCAAGGGGCTATGACTCTGTCCATGAGTCCCAGAAATCTCACCTGAAACTCATGCACCACACCAGCAGCATTACAAAGGCTAAGTGTCAGAGGGGAATGGGGAATCAGGAGAAAGAAGGAGGTGGGAGAGAAACCTATGCTGTATCCCTGTGAGATGTTGGTGCAGGTAACTGAAGAAAACTGAAGAATTGCTTTTTTGGGGGGAGACTTATCTATCTGGACTTGGGGGGAATAGCTAGAGAAATTCTAGGAGCCCTGGGCTGAAGGACTGATGACACATTTAGGACTGCAGGCATAGGTAGTAGAACTGAATTGGAGTCAAGGGTTAAAGGGCTCAACCAGACCTTTCTACAGCTGCTAAAGGGCTAAGCTGCCTTGGGATTCAGGTCATACTCTGCAGAATCTGAGCTACAGGGAGCAGGAAAGAGGCATAAGAATAGAGCTGTATCAGGGAATATCTGGGAACATCAGCTTCTTCCTCTCAAGGAGCAAGTCAAGTAGGCCATCTTCTCTGTGCCATTATTGTATTATGACCAGCTAGACTCTGAGAAGTGTCACTAACCAAAACCTGAACTGTGATTTCTTGTTCCAACTGAGAAGATGAAAAATGACTAAAACTAATGTTATTTCCTTTTCAGGACTCTTAGACTCTTGATTGGGGGAATAAGGGATTTCCTTCTCTGAAGACGAAATAATAGCGCAATTAGCAGAGTGGTTCCCATCTAGGGTTCCTTAAGTCAGAAGATCTGGGTTTAACTCCTGGTTCTGCCAAGTTCTGTTTGTGTGACCTTGACCAAGTCTTGAAGTCTGTTTCTGGAACTGTTAAGTGAAAATAATAGTACCTGCTTCATAGGATTGTTGGAAGATAAAATTGGGCACAGTGTCTGGCACACAGTAAGTGCTCAATAAGTGACAGCTATCATTGTTATTGGTGCTGAATGCTGGAACTGTAACAGGAAACTGTCTTTCAGTTCTCAGGGACACTTCCCAACTAACATACTTTAGCTGCCGTCTCTAGGGCCCCAGCACACATTCCCCAACCACTGCACAACTCAGGGCTTTCTCTGGTCATCCTATGTGTACAGGGCTGGCTTTAAGACCTTTTTGAACCATAACTGCATGACATTTATGAAGAAAGTCCACGTCAGCTTGGGAATCTCATCATCCCTTTTACTTGACTATCCTGAAGGATGAATTCTTTAGACATGCAAGGATTATGTTAAAATAGAGCTTTTAGAACCTTCCCTTGGTTAATTGTATTTTCCCAGAGGAGCCAGTCACCACCATCACCCCCCATCCCAAGAGAACAAGAAGAAAACTAAGATTTGCACAAGATTTCTGAGGGGTCTTAGATGTTTTTCTCCTAACAACTTTTTGTCCCCATTTTACACAGACAGAAACTAAGTCTCAAGCAGTTGTTTACTGCTGGAACTGTGATTCAGTCACAGTGCTCTTTCCATCTCTCTACAGCAAGAACACATATACATGCGTATATACACATACATACACACATATGCAAGCACACACACACCCACACACACCCAGACACACACACACACACACACACACACACAGCATCCCAGCTCATTCTTCTCCCAAATTCTGTTCAGGGTAGCCTTGGGATATCTCCAGTGCCCAAAGGAGCAGACTTGAGCTGATTTCAGTCTAAGCTCCTGGGGGAACACCTTACTGGCATTCTCCACTAGAGGTCTGAGGCAGTTATTGTGGTTTCCTTTGTGATGTGTCACTCTACTGCCAGAGATCCCGGGCAATCCCTCCTGAACAATACACCCTCCCTAACCCTCCCATGGAACAGGTGTCATGCCTACCATTCCAGGACTCACATTTGGAAATCATCTCCCAGAAGGCAGATGCTTCACTGAAAAGAAGTCTTTTGCACATCTGGAGTTCTAGCTACTAAAAACCTTTGTTAGTTTGGGAGTCTCAGCACGTACCCTCTCCTTCCTCAGTACAGCTTGAGGTCAAGGTCCAGGACGGAAGGGAAAGCAGGTAGAATTGGCAATGCATATCCCGACCAGTGTAGGGACAGTCAGCTCCTTGGAACCAGAGGCAAGGAGAGAGGAGGGAAGATGTGGTCCCTGTAGTTCCCACTACTAAGCCCTTGTCCATGCAATGGGTCCAGAAGCCCCACCCTGACATCGCCCTAGTACCAGTCAGCAAGGAGGGGAGATGACGCCTCTTTATTAAGGTTAACACCAAGGAAAGCATTGAGAAAGAATACACAGAGAAAGAGGAAGGGCACACAAAGTCACCACTTGAGGAGGTGGGAGGGAGGCATCAGTTAAGAATCTCAGGACAGCCGCATGCTCCATGCCCTGGTTGTGGGGGAAAAAAGGAGAGGAGAGGGAAAAGCGCCAAGAGAGCCTGGGGCTCACAGAAGGGTCTGAAGCCCCTAAACCTAACACCAGAGCCACAAGCCCTGCCCCTCAGGGCTCACACACTACTGCACAGGTCGACACACGTAACACACACAAGACATTATGGAGGCAACACCAAGAGGCAGCGGGCAGGGACATATTGACAGGAAAAGGAACTGAAGTTAAGCAGGTGTAGCCAGGAGAGAGACAGTTTTTGGCTGCGGCCCCCAGGAGTCCCTCAAACGTCCCCTAAATCTGGGCTGTTGCTGAGCACCCCCAAGTCTCTGCCTGTGAACTGGGCTCTTTGTTCTCTAAGCCCCAGTGAGTGGATAAAGCAATCCCAGATGAAGTCAGTGACAAGGCAGGGTCCGCTCTGCATGCAAAATCCTAGAGGTTGAGCTATTATGTCTTCATGCACATTCATAGCCAGCTCCTCCCAGCCCAGGGGCCCTTGGAACCCCATTCACCCAGATTCCTAGGACTGCAGTTCCCTCCTCAAGCTTCCTTTACCAATCAGCAGCCGCAGAGATCTGTGAGGGGGAGAGGCTTCTGCAGAACGCTGAATAGCTTGGATTTCATCACAAGGGTACATTTTCTGTTGCCAGAACAGAATACCCCCAATTCTTTAATTTCTAGGTAAATCGTTAGAGATTATTTGCCATAGTCCTACATAAATCCTTTTTCAGAATAGAAAAAGCAGAATTTTATTTACACAATTCAGGGGTTCTCCTGTTGGCTGGGGAGGGGGAAAGGGCAGGGTAGGGGATTGGATGGGAGTCCAGAGATGGGCTCTTCCTCTCCCGGAACCTCACCTTTCCGCAGTTTGCTACGTCTCTCTTGGTTAGACAGAAAGAATTCCTGATGCTCCCAAAGTCCTTTACCCTATAAATCCTTCCTCGAGGGAGTCTCTCTCTGCCTGACCCACAAGAGCAGCGGTCAGAGTG